TCTAACTCACTCCTCACCTTCTCTCCTGTCTCAATTTCACTCCTCACCTTCTCCCCTGCCTTGGGCCCCTAACCACCTTAAGGGCTACCCATCATCATTCTCATCTTATAACATCTGTTTTGTTGTTGTTGTTGTTGTTTGCATTTCATTCATTTTATCAACAATGCAACTCTCTCCCTTTTATAGATTTTATGACAGCAGGCCAGAAGATACCAGTGTGCGGCATAAAGTATTATTACAGTCCCTCCATAGGAACAAACTGGTCCAAGCAGCCGAAAGGCCTGCTTCTCTTTTGATGCTCAGTTTGTATGTTATTATTTTAATAATTCTGGCCTTGATCCAAAGACTCAGGAGACGTCTAAGTCACGTTTCACAATTAGGACACCATCCAAACTGATGTCCTCATTAATCAGGACAGATGACAGTAAATATACTCAGTACGCATAACATTCTATTTATAGCTAATGAGGTCACAGATTTGTTGATGGGACTGAGCATCACAGACAGACACACTGACAGGATACTGACCCCTCGAACAGTAGACTAGTCTCTCAGGCCAGCCCATCACAGCCACCTGCTCCCTTTCTGTTGATCCAAATACAGGTCCAGGACACATTTCTCACCCTGTCGTTGAGCCAGCTCATTACGTCAGCTGCTCGTTAAGGTGAAAGTGTTTAATTGAGAAAGACAGAGAGCTGCATTTCTCTGTTTAGTCTCTGTGTGTCTCGTATGGGACTCTATATAGAATAACTTCAGATGGCTTAATTCTCTCCCCCAGCTGCAGGATATAGTGCCTCCATCATCATGCCATCCCATGGCCTACAAGCTGTTTTTTTCCTCTCCTGCCTGGCACTGTCAGGCTGATTACAATCACATATTTTTCATAACTGTAACCGAATAGGAAATACACCCCAAACACCGCCACAGGGCAGCTGCCAGGAGACCATTGAAATAATGAATTTGCGAACACATCAGCTCACTCAGAGGACAAATTGTACGTGCACGCACACCTGTCGGAAATAAATGTCTTCCAGTCAAAGTCATAGTGCTGGTGGTGTCTTTAAGGGAAGTCCGGGGCTCAGACGGGACAAACCTCTGCCACAGAGCAGAGGTATGACGAGTCCTGAGCCGATACTCTCTGTCCTGAGTGTCAGCAGACCAATCAGGACAGAACAGGAGCAGCCTGTGGAGAGATAGCGTGTGAGAGACTGAGCACGACAGTGTGTTTGTGTACAGGTGAAGCTCAGGCATCCATAGAAGAGAGGTAGTGCGGGTGTTGTGCTTGACGTCTTTTTGTCATATTCACATACAAAGGGCAGAATGCGGAGCTGTGATTAGGGTGTTAGACTGGTAACTGGGAGGTTGCAGGTTCAAATCCCAGGTGAGGCACAGCTGTTGTCCCCTTGATAAAGGTACTTCCTGAATTGCTCCAGTAAAACACCCAGCTGCATAAATAGAAGCCACTTTGGATCGAAGCATCAACCAAATAGATGGGAATCGCAATGCCCAAGACCGACGCAGAAGCCCAGAACTGTCAGCGGAGGGTTACGGAGGGCAGGGCTGGAAGCCTGCGGAGGCTGGGAGGTGGGCGAGCTCTTGGTGTTCGCTGGCAGGGCCTGAATGAGCTCGAGGAGCCCATTGATCTCAAGAGCCCGGCCGCTGTTCTTCTGCCAGCCTCCTGGCTCTCCCCTGGGCTCTTTGTGCCGGTGATGGGCAGCCTAGCAACAGCGCCGCGGTTTGTTTGGCGTCGCTGAACAATCCGCCTGTCCATCACATCCTGCGATTCAGCTCTTCTCCGCTCTCTCTTCCTGTGTCCGCCCCTTACCCCTTACCCTCCCCCCATCCCCCGTCCTCGAGCCCCCCCAATGTAGAGCAGCTCCCCCAAGGGGAACCCCTCCCTGGATAAAGGCAGATAGACACAACCGCATCCTGGGTTCTTTTTACAACAGTATCGGTGAAAAAATAATAATCCCAAGAAAAATAGCAAAGATCAGCTTGATTTTGCACAATATACTGTATAACAAGAAAAATAACAAAGACTGGCTTTATTTCACAAAGTGCGAATATCATATAATATATAGCAATTTATTTGGCTATTATACTGTAAATGTCAAATTGAATACAGTGGCACAAGAAAAAAGCAACAGAAATAGAATATAGACATTTTATGTCTAACGACAGGTGCTGTCTGTACAGTACATAAACCTGGGGCCCGAGCATTATTTATGAAGGACTAGAAAACCAGCAGTGAAAAGACGGGGAGAAGTATATCAGTTTCCACTTGGAAGATCAATGAATGTTAATCCACAGGGCTTTCAGAGTGCAGGCCCTCTGAGTTCCTGACTGCACCCCAAAAAACAATCGCCACACCGCCTTTCCATCACAGCCAAGCCAGAGGTAGGGGGACCAGTGAGCCCACTGCCCAGCCTGGCAGCTTCTCTAGGGATGTGTGATTTATCAAAAGCCCTGTGCTGTAATCCCCTCTGTACCAGAAAGAGGGGGGTCTTCCCGGTGCCCCTGGATCTCTCTGGCAGATGATCCCTCCTGATTCGGACCATGACATCACCGCCTGGCGCAGCGCTGGAGTAACAGATGAGGTCATTCGTGGCCCGCAGTGAGAGGCATGAGAGTGCGAGTGTGTGTGTGTGGGAATCGCTGTGTTTGCTGGAGCGCTTTACGCCTTATTGGAGGGGCCTTCTTCCTTTGGTGTAGCTTGTCAAGATCAAGTGCTCTGGCTGGGAAGACTATAAATGGTCCCCTCCCTGCCTCCTTTGCTCTTCCTGTGGAGAGAGAGAGAGAGAATAAAGGCTGATAATAGACCCCAACTCCCTCTCCTCTCCCTCTCTCTCCCTCTCTGCAGCCAGAACAGTGACAACATCTCTCTCATCTGCTGCTTTATTCCAGGGTAGTGGGGAAGCTTTTGGTGGCTGGTGGTAGTGTGGTGGTGGTGGTGGGGGGGTTGGGGTGTGGGCTGCACAATAAGCCCCATTATCCTGCTCAAGCACTGACAGCCCTGTGCCCACACAGCACATCCCCTCTCATCCTGTTCACAAGACACTGCGCCTCCCAGCAGCACAGCGCTGTGCAGGACCTCTCCCCCACGCCTGCCAGAACCAGAACGGCTCTACTCCATAGAGCTGGCAGCCCAGTACGTGACCCTCTGTCACAGGCCGACACAGATAACAGAATGCTCGGACCCCGGGTTCGAGGTTCTGTACTGTACAGGCAGCGCCTGTCGTTAGAAAATGTCTGAACCCTTGGCTGTTAACTTCTGTTGCTTTTTTCTCATGCAACTGCATTCAATTCGAAATGTCTAATACAATCGCAGTGTGTGAAATAAAGCCAATCCCTGTTATTTTTCTTGTGATCATTATTTTGTACCGATAGTGTTGCCAAAAAAAACAACCCAGCACAGAGTGAGCCACTCAAATTCTACCACTACTTCTCCTCCACTACTACTAATAATACGGGATCGTCCTAAATGTTTGTAAACGTTACTAATTGTTGCTGCCTTGGCAACACTGTAATGCACCAGTCCAATAAAGCTCTTTGGAATTCAGCAAGGTACTAATAAAGGGAAGGAAATTTGGAGGGTGGGGCGCAGTCCACACAGGGGGAGATGGAAACATGCCATGCGCACTTTTCGGACTGTGAGTGCTGAGAGAGACAGACCAGTGCTGACAGGTGGAAAGACAAGGGATGACACTGAGACGGAGACAGCACAGAGGACTGCAGGGGTTACTAAAAGATGCTGGGGTGCTTGCAGGGGGAACTGCAGATCACACCCTGCCTGCAAGACTGCCCCTTCAAAGACAGTGTCCCCCCCGTAGCATGCAACTCCTCCAGGACTATTAACACAGTCCATTTGCTGTGTGGCCATTGTGCGCTGCCTGTGCTTTGTCAGTTCTCTTTCAGAGAGCACAGCCCCTCTCCCGCCCCCTCTGTGCCAAGACACAGGCCTGGGGTCCCTGACCATCAGCTCTGCCAAGCCACACAAGTAGGCTCCTCAGCACCCTCAGCGCTAACGAGGGCGCTGCTGGTGCAGCAGGTCACAAGCGCCTCCACGTTCCTGCACCCAGGTATTTTCAAACAGTCTGACGTTCTGAATCTGTGCCGGCTTTCTTTTTCAGCTCCATTGCTTTGTTAAAGTGACTGTCTTTGTCTGAGAACACCGCTCCTCTCAAAGCCTCAGGCAAGCTGAAAAATGGCACAATGCATACACAATACCCAATTTCCACATTTCTCTAAATACGGACAGTAAATATTGCAACCATCCTCTTCACTGGGATCTATTTTTAACACCAGACAGACCGCCCAGGCAAACTAAAAATACTGCTTTGCTTACAAAATAAATATTTCTTTTTCATCCAGAATTTCAACACTGTTGTCTCATTCACGTGGAAGCCTCTACAATATGAGCCAGTGATTGGCTCTTTCTTTCAAGCCCCAACATGTCCTCCAAGCTGAAAATTGTTTCTCTGTATAAACTTTCTGTTCTCTGGGGCCTGAGTCCTCTTAAATTGGAGACTGGCAGCCTTGCCTTCAGACAGCCGTTAAACCGAGCCTGCAGTATGAGCTTGAACCCACTGGGGATCCCTCTCTGTGCTCTGGGCTGGGCCTCTGCCTCTGACAGCTGCTGCTGGGGGTACCGGGGTGCCTGGCAATGTGAGGGTGTCTGGTGTCTCAGGGTGCCTGGTCACATGACCAGACTGGCGCAGCGGGCCGCTGGATCTGTTGCCATGGCAACGGAGGCAGGAAGTGG